AAGCTCTCTCTCAGTATAACTTTCCAATCCTTACAGGTTATCTGTTTGTGTTTTTGATGACCTACTTTTGTAGGTGATTACATGCTCCTCTCATCTTAATGAAAGTGTTGGCTAAAAAGAGATCGTATCTCATTGCAGAATCTTGCAACCAAATGAGTTTTTTAAACACGTTTCAGCAACAATATTTAAAGCTGTAAAAGCTTTGGTACCTAAACAATTTTACTGATTTAGACGAGACAATAAAACTATGGAGTAAAACGGCAAAGCAAAGGCGACATTTAGTGATTACATAGACAGCAACCAGAAGGCGAAAAAACAAAACATGCTTCTTACATCAACAGCGGATCCATTCCCAAATCCGGACAGCCACAGCAGCAGCTGCTCATACAAACATCATTAGCTCGGGCCTGGTATATACGTTATGGTCCTCATCCTCAAGCATCGGGTACGATGCAACAAGAGCATCTTGAGCTCCGATATACAGTGAGTTGTAAATCTTCCAGTACACCTCTCTAACCTTCCTAGCAGGATGGAACAGCCCCTGGAGACAGTAGTTGAGTACAACCGCAGCACCTAATGCCACTCTCATCCCTTCAATTGCTTCCATGACCGCGTTGATAACGTGTGGGGATGTCTCAAATATGTTTGGCCAGACGTAGTTCAGCAAGTGGACTAAAGCATCCTCGCATCCCAATCCCGCTACTCCCAGAGCCATGTGCTTTACAGCAGAAGCAGCAGTTTGTCTGTGAACCAGATCTCTATCCATGAGGGCATCCTCTAGCAACGGGGTCACTGCATAGATATAGTCTTTCCCCATTTCACCAATGTACTCAAACAAGAACGAGAGGGACTTCAAAACACCATTCTGCACATTAAGCTCTGGAACACGATACTCATTCATCAGGGCCGGAAGAACTGTGAAAGGCGAACAGGTTTCAGCTACTATTGCGATTGCCACAGTGGTGCAGACACGGTTCTGCCGCTCCTGCACTTTGAGATTGTTCAATAGAGTTGCGAGGACATCTTGTGGACCAATGGCTTTGGCAATGTAACCAAAAGTATTCACTGTAGCTCGCCGGATACCCTTCTTATGAGCCTTGAGCATCTCAAGAAGCTCAAAACAGATCCTCATCCACTCCCTTGCTGGGACAAACTCAGCACCGCGATCAGCAATACGACCAACAAGGTCAATACAGTTCTCCTGGACTTTCTCATGCCTATTCTTCAAAATTGGTGTCAACCTGGGAAGCAAATCCTTTATAGGAGGAGTCATCTTTGTCATACCAATAACATTCACAATTGCCTTCAGCGCTCCCAGAATTGATCCCAAAACTTCTGGATACTCTTCTCCCAAATACTCATACAAGACAACACCAAGATGACCCATCAGTTGCTCCTCTTGGCACTGCTTCATGACAACAGCAATTCTCGAAATAAGATCTGCAGCTTGCTGTCTGACCTTTGCACTCTTGTTATTCAAACGCCACTTAATGGTACCACAAATCTGAGGAAGGTAAGGTTTCACCCTCAGACCAAGAGAATTCACAACTGCACCGAAACCATTAAGCATCACATTTGCATCATCACTGGTCTGCTCCTGGAAGGCATAAAGGATACCATCAATGAGAAGCTCCTCCAACCGAGCATCAATGTCAGATGCACCCAAGTTCACAACCACCTTCTCGATCGTTTCCATAACCATTCTCCTATACGGTTCACTCTCATCTTTGAGATCCTCAACAATTCTCCCAACTATATCAGCAACACCCACTTTGTTTGCTATCTCTACAGTTGTTTCCACCAATTGCCTGTAGTTTCTCCTATCCAAAGCCATCCTTCTAACCCAAAAGTTTTTAAAGAACTCAGGAAGAATATCACTTCTTATATACTCAGGCTCTACACCTTCTGTACTCACACACTGTTTGACAACTTTGAGCACAATTTTCTTCATCTCTTCATCGGGAGACTGAAACTCTCGAATCAAAACAACCATCACTTCCTTTGTATAGTAACTGGCATACATTGCATCCATAAGGGGAATAATAAAACCAATTGCCTTCAAGAAGGCAGCCAAAACCTTACCACGGTGAGACCTAATACCCTTCCACAATGGCTTCAATACAGAGTCAAAGCTCTCAATACCGTACGGGGCAGCTGCCTCAGCAAGAGCAGCAAGAGATAGAGCAGTAATTGTCCGAACCTTCTGATTTTCATCACTCAGACCATTCTCTATAATTTCCACAAGGGACCTCAAGTGGGGAAGTACAGCACAGCCGATCAAAATGGCAATCTGCTGAACAATCTTGATTCCAGTGTGCCGTGCTTGCCACGACTTCTTGCTCTGACACACAGCTTTCAAAAAGGGCAAGAGGGCAGGTATACCAAGTGCAGAAGCAACAACACTAAAAGCTCTGGCAGTAGTGTTCCTAACATATTCATCAATGTTATCAATATCCGGACGCATGGCTGCAATCATAGTGGCCAAACCAGCTGCTTTACTAAGATTGGAGATAATTTCTCTCCCTTCAACACGCGCATAATAGTCTTCATCAATCAACAAAGGTTCAATAACAACAAGAATCTTATGCACATAAGGACGTACCAACTCATCCAATTTATAAAGCACTCGATCAATTACCTTAACCAAAAGATGCCTCTCTTGGTCTTCCAAAGTGGGTTGCATAAGCAGAGGCAAAATGCGGTTAAACAAGGGGCCAGCACCAAACTCACGAGCCTTATCAGTAAGCTGCCTCAATGCTGTCTTTCTCTGCTGTGGCGTTCCATTCTTAACTTTAAGCAGAAGCTTCATAATCTTCCGCTCTTTCTGCTCATCAGGGGACAATTCCTCCTCCTCATCTTCATTGAGCAATGCCCCAAAGTATTGATAGTCCTCGGGCTTCATAAACGGTAACCCACCAGGCAACTCCTTAGGCACATCAAACTGCTGCCCACGATTCTCTTCCGGAATAGAATACATAGGAGTCCCCATTGGAGTCGGGGTAGCAAGAAGCTTCCTCGCCGGAGTCCTAATCGGCACATAAGAAGACGGTGGGTCCAAAACTTTATACCCTTCTTGAGGAAACATAGCATCCAGCTCTTCATCAGTCAATGGTCTATTCCTCTCTTCAATATCCTTCTCCCACCTCAATAGATTATACTGCTCTGGCGTAATGGCTCCCCTCACATTAATTGCCCCGGGGGTTGGGGTAGCAAGTTCAACTCCGCCTACAGGGGTCACACCAGGTGTATAGGCAGCAGCAGGGGTTGCCCCAGCCATTGGGGTCGCACTGCCCATTGAGGCAGGGGTCTCATCCCACCTTGACCTCTGCCGTTTCGGTGTCGGTGTGGCCATCCCAGGAAGCTTCGGAGTCGCATCCCAAGCCATCCCAGCAGGGGTGGCACCAGGAGTGACAGCACCAGCTGGAGTAGCATCCGAATCTGCCACCCGCCCTGGAGTGGGTGTCTCATCCCAGCGGTTCCTCCTCCCCAGTGATGGAGTCGAATCCGAAACCCTTCCTGGCGTCGGAGTCGCATCCCACTTTCCTGGCGTCGTATCCGGCAAGTCCCAATCCGACGTTTTCGCCTTCTTGCCCCCACCATCGCCATCCTGAGACTGGTCCCACCGATTCCTCCTCTTTTGAGGCGCCGCCTCAGCTGCAGCAGGCTTATCCTCCTTTTCCGGCGGCGCCTCCTCTTTCTCCTTCATCTTCTTAGCAATAAGCTTCAGAGTCTCATCCTTCTCCCTCTTCAGGGCTTCCTCCCTCATCACATCTGCATAAGTCCTCACCGACGGGTCCGGAGTCTTCTCCCCGGACGCAAACGGGTCGTGCCGCTCAGGCGATATGATCCGGTTCAACCTCCGCTGTCGATAATCATCCTCCCTATCGATAATCCTCTGCGGCTTCTTGAACCCCAAATCCTCATCGGCGTCGCCGCCTCTCGGCCTCTCGTTCAACACCGACTTGGGGGCCGTGTACGAAGCCGCCATCCTCCGAGCAATCTCGTTGTCCATAGCCTCCGCGTTGTCATCGTCGTCGTTCACAGGGATCGACGAGACGTATGCGCCCTTGTCTGTGCCGCCGTAGAGGTCTGTGTCGAAGGTGACGGAGGTGAGGGAAGCCAATTGCTTCTCCATCCTCTTCCTCTCTTCCTGCGTCTTCTCTATCTCGTCGTCGGACGCCATAATTAGGGTTTTGGTATCGAGAATTTGGTAGTAGGGTTTGAACGGGGATTGGGATTTTAATTCAGGAATTTAGGGTTTTTGGGATTGAGATCGGATCTCCGTATGTAAAAATTAGGGGTTTGTATTTCAGGTATTCGATGGGCTTGGGTTTTCCTTTTGGCCCAGTAAAAGAAAATAAACCGACATGCACAAGTCCGTTGGTGGATTGGTCAACCAAAATATCGACCCCACGTGAACATTGTCGACCCCATTAAAACATACCTAGCCATTACAGTAAGCGGTCCAGTAGTAAGTGCCCTTGTTTCCTTAATAAACAAAAAAAAAAAATGTAAGAGACCTCAAGTTCGATGATCTGAGCTAGTGACTGTGCTTAGTCTATGGGCACATGCATAGTAAAATTCTCCATAACCTCTCTGGGTCCAAAATAAGTGGATAATTGTAACTTGCCATCCGTTGTCCCCTTTTCATAAAAAAAAAACAACGATACAAATGTCATCGTTATTACTCTGACATTGATATTCGGTTGCACTATCGTTGCTCATGTCGCTAACATCCCTATCCGGATTATGTGTTGTGAAGAAGATTCAATTGATTGTATTAGGATTTCCAACTCGATTGGTTAAAATCATTTATCCCTTGAATATTATATATACATAAGTTCCGGAGACTAAAGCTTTTGACATTTGAGCAATTTACACCTTCAGTTAGAACGGATGAATGCAATGTGAGACAATTGTTCAAATATCGTATAAGGTGCAATGTCAAAAAATTGAAAACTCATGACTCATTTTAGAACTTGCTCGAAAAACTTTGACCGTATGAAAAGTACTTAGCCGCAATAACTATTTAGTTCATAGAAATCTGGTTGTTGTTAATACAAACTACGAATGCTCACACTCAGACCTAATGAAAGAGATGATAACATACTACAGTTGCAGAAAACTTAATTTGAACAACTGAGTTCTTCATGTATTAAATCCGATCGAGGCTCCTCGACAGCCTCAATGGCAAAAGGGAAGTTCCTCGTAACATTCATACATCGGTAGTAGAAACGTATGAAGTCGGTGTTCTTGGTCTCCAGAGGATAGTACTCCTTGCAGCATACAAAAGATAAACTGAATGAGAAGCCAGAGAGAGAGGGCTTAATCTGCTGCTAACCATCCAAGGAATACATATGCTGAATTAGTTCATTCCGAGGGCTATTGACAGGGGAACAGGGTGGGAGACGGGTCTCTCCACAACTTGCCATCAACTAAGTCGAGTTTTTTCATCTTTTCCTCGCACCAAAACAGCTGCTCTTTACTTATTCTCACCATCCGGAGGGTTCTTGACAAAACCTTGGCGTCAATGAAGCTGAACAAAAGCTGAACATCTTCCTGTGATTGTGGCCACAATTTCTTCTTCCAACCTTTCCTCTTTTTGCGCAGTTCCTTTAACTTCATCCATTTCTGCAGCACAAATAGACAAGTTTCAAGACATTATATGATCATTTGAGTAAAAAGAAACGGCCATAATAGTAGTCCAAGAGTACCACACACACAAAACAAGATCATTGTTAAGAACACCAGCTTCAAACACATTGCATTCTCGAAGACAGAATAATTACAAAAGGTTCAGAACGCCAGCTTAATATAATTGTGAAGAACAGCTTAATATAAAGTTAATCTAGATAGTATCTACGGAGATTTTGAATCTGACACACACTAGACATCATTTGGTTCGAAGATCTATCAGTACCCAAACCACAATGGTCGTGGGATAAGAAAAATTGGATAAAGAATTCTATCACTGAAGGGTAATCTAGTACTCCATCAAATGTTTTATGCATGTATAAGCATATATGCTCACAAACCCCCTGAAAGAGAAATCATGAAGAAACTCACACAAGTAAGAATATGGCTAAACTCTTTCGGCAGGTAAAAAGTAATAGAATTTGAAATTAAAACCAAGTAATCAACCAGACCACTTTTATCATAAGACTTTGAAATACCTTGTATAAAGATGCTAAGGTGGAAACACGAAAGAAAAGATACACTAGAAAAAATTTCACCTTCTGGAGAGAAGTTTGAATCTGCTGAAGTGGGGTGGCAGCCTGGTTTTGATTCCCAAACAAGTTAAGAACAGAGCTTGGTTTTTTCTTATCCATCTTCAGGAAAAGCTGAAAAGTAAGGATTGAGGTTTCAATAATCTTGATGAGATCAGGAGCATGCAACGATGAATCTGATTCTTCTTCCTCCTTTCCTTTTTGTATTGGACCTGAACAAATTCATGACGCCAAGTTCTTAACATCGGAAACAACAAAATTTACCAACACGTCATATTAATAATAGAAAGCTGAGAAATTAGTATATATGAATTTGGTCGTGCATGAAAAACAGCTTCTAATTTCAGTGCTCGTAACTGAACTTACAACCACAGTCAAATTCTTGATCATAAACATTTTGGATTGACACAAGAAGCTTACCTTGTATATTAGGCACCCGGAGTAAATTAGGAAGAAGTCTTTGCGTGCGAGCATAAATTTCGGCCCTGTGGCCCTCCTCAAAAGGTTCATTTTCGATATACCGTTGTAGTAAAACCTGGAACTGTTGAAATTGTTGAGCACTGTGGTTGTAACTGTTGGGATTTTCAGGTTGGCATGCAATTAGCTGGTTTAGCTGAGTGTACTGACAGTGCAGTGCCTCCCAAGACAGGCAAAGTTGACCTACATATGATGTCTCGATATCCTGGTAAGGATCATCATCAGGCTGCTGAAGGTGCTCAGTCTCATTATCAGGCTCTTCAATCTTCTTCAAAGAAAGACAGCGAAGAGGGGAAGTAAGCTTCTTAGATGCAAATCGCGGTGATGGAGTCTTGGGTGTTTGGAAACCTGAAAGGCAAACATTTACTTGCAATGAACGTTTAGATAATCTATTTTTACCAAAAAGAAAAACAAAAGAAATCTAAAGAAACTGTCTGTCCGCAGTAACCCTGGAGCTCAAGAAACAACATATAGACAAACGTATTGTTTCACTTGTATATAACTAGCTTCACAAACATCAGCTTGTGTACTTTTACGAACTGCTCGTATACCTAGAGCTTAACTGAAGCAAGTTTCAATAAATTTGAGCTATCTACGTTTGTCTGAAAATTCAACTCTGCCAATTATTTGAAAGAGAACTAAGCTCAAATCAGATTCACGTCATTTCAACACTGCCATCTCCTCGTATCTTTACTTATTCTAATCTCCCATATGGCTTGTTGGGCACATAGAATGTTTATTTTCTATTTACCTATGAAGGGGAAAACTTCATATGTATTTCATGCAGGTAGATTCATATAAAGATGAAACATTTCAAGTTCAAACAACCAGTCAAAAAGAAGTAAAGTCCTAAAGCTTAAAGTACTAATTTGAAAAGGTAAAAAATTAGAACAAATTACAACACTTACAAGTTCCACTAAGGTGCTGCGCACTCATCTGCTCAAAGAACAACATCCTTTCCCAGTATTTGTCATATACAGCAACAAAGCCACACCACCGTAGCTGGCCTTCTGCTTCTACATCCCTCCACTCATTAGAGCTTGTCTCACCGGCTTCTTCTTCTTCTTCCTCTTCGGGTAATGACTCTTCTTCCGGAATCAGCTCCATAAAGCTGTTCCTTCTCAATTCTTTTAACTTCCGCTTGACCTCCTCAATTATGAAATCATCATCATCGTCCTCAGCCTCGGCCACAGGATCAGCATTGGCCGACTTACCACAGTCATCGCCACTATTCTTCTTGTTGGGTTCCTCCCGCTGTGGCACAGGACTGTCCTCTGACACATTTTCGGGGTCTGGTTTGTGTGCTTTCCTAAACTTCTTCACTTTGAAGAAATCCATAATCCACTAAACAAATTGGGTTCTCTTCAACCCCGCAAACTTATGAATACCTCTTTCGTAATCAACAATTCAAACCCCGAAAATAACACCAGCACACGAAGTACCTTTGCCAACTAATAACTCTATTATGTTCCAAGGTCGTTATACATTGAAGGCACAGTGAGATCTACCAGCAGAAATTCAAGTATGTTTTGACTTATGAACAATTAAACCGTGAAGTTCTAACAAAAAATGGGGTAACTCGTACTTCTCAAAACCCTTCTGAGCCAGAATCCGGTAAGCAAGAAACCCTAGATCTAAGCAGAAGATCAAACAATCCAAGCTTCCTTTACAAGAAAACTATCGATCTAAACATTGAACTAGTAACAACTCAGAAAATCTGTTGAGCTAAGAACAGTAAAAGTACAAACTATTTACTCATTAAAGTGCATTCCACTACCTTTGGTAAAATGGACTCACAAAAACACCAGAGAGATCAGAACCCACAAAACTTGCTCAAAGATCAGCAGATTTCTCCAACATTTTGCAGTTCCTGGAAGCACATTACACAATACTCACCAAAAAAATAAAAGATCCCAAATCATCCTCATCCAAAGAAGTTCAACAAGATTTGTTCCTTTCTTCACTGTTACTGCTCAAACCCCATACACTTGAGCCGCACTGCAGTAAAAAGCAAGTCCCGGAAGAACAAAAAGTACATAAAAAGTACCACAAAATTCCAACTCCTAAAAAGCCCAAAAATTTGAAGGTTTAGAACTTTAGGACTCAAAAGCTAGATCACCAAAAACCCATCAAAATCCCAGAAGATCCAAGTGCTTTTATTTGCAGCTGAAGCCACCCAGAAACCCCAAAATTTCAAATGTGGAGAAAAAGAAAAGAGCTTCCAGCTGAAAACCCTGCAACCCAGAAAAGCAAAATATGTGCAGACTGCAGAGAGAGAGAGCACTGTTTGGAACAATGTAAAACGTCTCAACCCGTGAGCAGTAAATTGTTGGATTAGCATATTTTCCACTTTAATTTGATCTAATTAAGTTAATAAAAGTTTCATTATTTAACTTTTCTTTGATTTTGTTTAATAAAATGATTTGGATGATTTATTAGTTTAATTTTTCAAATTAATGGGTGGATTTAGGGTTTATCAATGTGTTGGGTTTTGGATTTTTCTGGGAATGGGAAGAGCTCGGAATTCAAGGGGGAACGCAGGACAGTGGACATTACCATTAACAGACAGTTTTGTCAGCCCTCGTACAAAGAATAATATCGTCATGAACAAATTAAGAAAAAAAGCCGCGCAAAAGTGGGTTTGATTTGTGCAATGTGGTCTGAAATTACAAACTTGCCCTCCTTTACTTTGGAAAAATGTGCATCATTTTTCTCGCCCTTTTGATATCATAAAAAATCTTGCAATGAATGTGGATATGAAATGAATTTATTTGGTAATTTGCTGTCGATTAAACATAATCAAGTCCAGTTATTTAGTATCATAACCTAATGATATTTTTTTTCATGTGTAAGTGAGAGATCTTTGGTTCGATTCTGTCAAAGACGAATTTAAACAACATTATTATGGCAAGCATATTGTAAGGCTTAGCTCACTCCTCTATTCATTTAGTATAGAATGTAAATAATATCGTTTATTAAAAAAAACTTAGTTAACTCCGAGTCAATTAGAGAAAAATGGAATTGAAACATGGATTTTATCCGTCTTATTTCTCTTTTGCAAACTGATTAATTGTTTTAGTAGTATAATTCGATAAATTAATATTTGTACGTGTTAAAAGGTAAGTTTCACAAGTAATTGATTAGTAGTAAGAGAGTGCTTTACGTTTCATTTATATCGTTTGATTTTGTAAAAGAGAATGTTATCATTATTAGCAAATATTGTCATCCCAATTTCGTACTAATAGCATGACAAAGTAGAATTTTTTGAGTAACGGGCCTACATTCATGTGATTAACTCATCATGAGATATGTGCTTGTTTAGGGAAGAAATAACTCAAATTGACAATTTATTTGAAAATGTTCAACAAAGTAATATTATGTGCATTAAACTTTCCTTCTTTTTTTTTTTTTTTTTTTTTTTTTTTAAGAAACTGCATTAAACTTTCATTGAGATATTGAAGGAAGAACTAAAAAACATGTTGCTCCTTGGCAGAATCGCACCTATTAATAAGTTTTTAGAGGTGAAAATATTAATCGTCCCTATTAGTATTATTAGGTGTGATTAAAATAGCATCCAATATTAAAGAGGGATTGCAAAGGGAGGGAGGGTTTTATTAAAACTCTGGTCTCTTCCTTACCGAATGAATTAAACCTAACTAATTGGGCTCTAACGTTTGATTTTATTTTTTTTCTCTATTTTCATTTTCTTCTGTCTCATCTCTCTTTCTCTCGCTTTCTCTTGCTTTCTTTCGATCATCTCTTAATTTATTCCCTTCTTCATCCAACTATTAACGCACTATGGTAAGCAAAATCAAGTTTTTTTTTCCTTTCTTTTTAATCTATTCTTATTGTTTTCTCCTTTTATATGAGTCATATTTTTTTGTTTTTTGTTTTTTTTTATTGATGAATTGATTTTACTAACTTAGGATTTGGTTTTTCATTTAAATATTGAAGGCAGGAAGTGTGTGATCTTGAATGTGTGATTGGCTGACAATTTCAAAGGTGTGCAATTTAGGTTTTTTAGTGCTGTTGAATGGTTAATTTAGGTTTTTCCTTTCAAAAAATTCGTTGATAATTTTGGATTAAATTTTATTTTGTTATTTATTGTCGTTTTCTTTTGTTTGATTTTGATATTATTTGTATTATACTTTTATCCTTTGTAGTCAATTTTAAGGACTGCAGATTATTTGAACTTCAACCTTAATGTATTGATTTAAAATACTGCTAAAAAATACTAAGAATACATCACCACTATTATGATATTTGTCATCATTTATTAGTGAGAGGTTTTATATTTGCTTTTCTTCAAAGACGAATTTGAACAACATTATTGTTAGCACGTGAGGCTAAACCTACTCCATCGTTTGTTAATATATATGTATAACATCAATAACTATGGCATGACTAGTGTACTAAAACAATGAGAAAAAAAATAAATTTAGTAAATTCTTTTTGAAGCATACTATCCTCTCGACTGCGATCCATCCCTTAAACTATGATCGTAGTGCAATTGGTTGTACTCAAGGTTTCCGTTTAATAAATGATCTTTTTGTAATGTCGTATGAACTTGCAACATTTTCAATTCGTAATATGAATTCAAGTTTTAAGCCACTTCATATCAATTCTAAAAAATCATTAATTTGTCATCTCATCGTAATTCTTCTTAAGTTTTCTACCTAATATAAGCAGTGGCGAAGCTACAAAGGGATTGGGAGGGGCGGCTGCCCCTCCCCTCGCCGGAAATTAAGCCCGGGAGCGCGGTTCCGCTCCTCTGGTCTCGTCGGAGTTAATGAATGCACCTGCACTGCAGATCGGTTTCTGGGCTTGAGTTTCTACTGCTGCTGTGCAACAGCTTGTGTTATTTTTTTTTTCAAATCCCTTAAATGAAACGATGCCGTTTCATTTTGTATTAAAAAAAAAAAAAAAAAAAAACCTCCTTAATCAAACGACGCCGTTTCGTTTAATTGATTAAAAAAATAATTTTAAAGGGGACCACTGCCCCCATGCCTTCCATTATTCAAATGAGTCTTCACTTTTTGAAAGCCAAACCCTTTTTAAAACCAATCAGAAGGCCCGTGTGTGCCCCCCCAAATCCCAGCAGTAGTTTTCAGCGCCCTCCTCCCTCCGTTCCGTTCCGCTGTCCTTTATTTCTCCTTCAATCCAAGCCAGCCGCCACTGCTAGCCTCTAGCAGCCAACTGTTGGTTGGTTTTCCACTTCTCTCTCAATTTTAGGTAAATTTTTTAACATTCTAATTTGTATTATCTCTAACCCTAATTGATTAATTAATATGAAAATTTAGTTAATTAATATAGAATCATAGAGTAATACACTAATTAGTTATTGATTATTGATTTTTGCGTATAAATATGAATCCTATGAATGATTATTGATCAATGAAATTATTATCTAGAGTAAAAATTGAATTCTTGATTATTGATTAATTGATTATTGATATTAATTTATGAGTTGAATTTTTGTGTATTAAATAATTTATATGAATATTGGTATTGATTAATTGAATTGTTGATTTAATTAATTAGTACTCATATTGACTATAGTACAGTTTACTCTAAGATTAAGAGTCTAAGACTTTTTTTTTCGTTTTCCATGTACAGTTACACAATGGAACGATACTATAAGAAACAATGTTTAAATCCTCCTTCAAATATTCCGGCTAGTCCTTCTTCAAATATTCCAAGTAGTCCTCCTTCGAATATTCCAAATATTCCTTCTTCGAGTATTCCGGTTAGTTCCCAACAAAGTGAGGTCACTGAGTTGGATGAAATATTGGCTAATCTTCCTGCAGACCCTGGACATAGACATTGAATGCTTGATTATCCACCTAATTATCATGAAGCAATTCGTCGACACTATCTCCAAAATAATCCTTGTCAACCTAAAGACCACATCATGCCAAGAAAAGTTTGCAACAATTGATGTTTTGTCACCTGTTGGTTTGATAATTTTAAGTGGTTGAAGTATAGTATAGTAAAAGATGCCACATGTTGCCGTTATTGCTATCTATTCAAGTGTGATTTTGATAAAGAGGGAAATGTCGGAAATGATGTCTTCACTGAGATTGGGTTTACAAATTGGAGGAAAGGACTCGAAAATTTTGAGATCATGAGGGAGGTGTTGGAAGTCTTCATAATAAAGCTTTACAACAAGCTAGAGATTTGACGACGCAAAAGCAACATATTGAAACATTTGTGATTAAGCAAACCGATAAAGCTCGCATTAATTATCACATTTTATTGCGTGGCGCACTTGATTGCACAAGATGGTTGTTGCAACAAGGTTTGCTTTTCATCGCCATGATGAATCATTCAAATTAAGCAATAGAGGTAATTATTTAGAGCTTATGCAATTTCTTGCCGATCATAATGATAAAATTAGGAAGGTTGTGTTTGAGAATGCTCCCAAGAATCTCAAGTATACTTCTTCCGATATTCAAAAAGATCTTGTATGTGCTTGTGCTATTGAAACTATTGGTGCAATTACTAAAGATATGGAAGGTACATTTTTTTCTCTTTTAGTTGATGGATCACATGATTCTTCAACTAAAAAGCAAATGGCAGTGGTATTGCGTTATGTGAACAAGGAAGGAGAAGTAATTGAAAGGTTTTTGGGTGTGCAACATGTCTCATCTACAACTAGTAGCTTGCTTGAAGAGGTCATTGAGAGATTATTTGCTTTAACAAATTTGAGCATGTCCAAGTTACAGGGACAAGGCTATGATGGAGCTAGTAATATGAAAGGAGAACTAAATGGCCTGAAAGCAAAGATTTTGAACAAGTATCCTCAAGCATTTTATGTTCATTGTTTTGCACACCAACTTCAACTAGCTCTTGTAGCCGTTGCAAAGGGAATTGAGGGTGTCACCATTTTCTTCAACAATGCAAGTATTTTAGTCAGTACTATCAGATCATTGTGTAAGCGTCGTGACGCATTTAGATTGAAACAACTAGAACAAATTAAGAAAGCTCTTGATATTGGTGATCTTAAAACGGGTAGAGGGTTAAATTAAGAGATTAGTCTCATGCGTCCTTGTGATACACCTTGGAACTCACATTATGGTACTATAGTTAGTATCATTGCCATGTTTGAAGCCGTGGTGGAGGTGCTTGAATGGATTAAGGATGATACCAACCAAGACAATTTTGTTGAAGTAAGTTATTCCATGACATACACATTTTTGATTTTGTGTTTCACCTTTTTTTTATAAGACTTATATTAGGAATTACAAATGAGTTATCACAAGCATTACAAAAGAAAGATCAAGATATTGTGAATGCGATGACATTAGTGGAAGTATGCAAGTAAAGACTACAATTTTTGAGAGATGATGACTTTGGGGACTTGCTTGATGATGTACAAAAGTTTTGTCAAGAGCATGATATCGTCATTCCTAACATGGAGGATTTGCGTTTTGTACCCCAAAAATCAAGGCGTAAAGCTCCAAGACTCATAAACTTCCATTACTATGGTGTGGACCTTTATTTTCAAGTCCTTAATACACAATTAAAGAAATTGAATGATTGCTTCAATGAGGTAAACACCGAATTGCTTTTTTGTATGGCATGTTTGAGTCGAGTGAATAATTTTGCATCTTTTGACAAAGCAAAAATTGTTCGTCTAGCCCAACTTTATCCTCAAGATTTTGATTGTATAGACCTCATGAATCTTCCAATTCAACTTGACAGTTACATTCATGATATGAAGATGCATAATGAGTTTTCATCATTGAGAGGAATTGGTGATCTTGCAAAGGAGTTGGTGAAGACCGAGATGAAGGAAAATTTGTGAAAAACATGTTCATTTAAGCAACATCAATAGCATGCAATTAACAATTAAAGGCGGAATCATGCTTATATGCACTTAAAACAAAACATTTACCCATGAAATTCAAAGCCTAGTAGATAGGTGAACCAAGACTCAACTCAAAACAAAGTGAGTTGAGAAATCAATACCTTTGTAGATTCCTCTTTGCATAAGCAAAGGCTAATCACCCAAAGAGAGGGCCTTCATTCCTTGCATCTTAGATCCATGGATTTGGATGGATGAAAAGGTTTCTCCAAGTTCCCAAAATTGAGAACCCCTAAGTCTCCACACCAAGGTATATTGAAGAAGAAATGAGTGACCTTGAGGAAGTAAGATTGCTAGATGTTATCCTCAAGGTGGCCGGCCATTTCTAGAGAGAAAGGAGAGTTTGTGTTTCTCCAATTTCCCCAAAAACAACACTTAATGAATTTTGGCTATTAAGTCACACTTATACCTTAATTCATTTGAGTGGCAAACTTGTAAATAAGTCAAAACCCACTCTTTCTCTAACATGGCCGGCCTTAGGGATTTATTGGGCTATTTGGGCCTTTGTGAATCATTATTCATTAAGTTGTCATACAACTTAAGTCAATGGACTTGACGTTCGAAGCCCATTGGGCCTTAAGGTCCAAAACTATCCCGAGGTCTTCAACGAACTTATTCGTTTGATTAATAATCATATTAATTAATCCTTGCCATAAATAATTAAACCATTTAATTATTCTTACTCATCTCCGTTGAATCTTCAAACTCTACCTTACACGGTGTACGATCCATTAGGTTCCTTTTAGCGAGGCAGTGGGCGATTCAAACTCTTTCAAATCGATTGTGAATTGAAACTTACTTTCAATTCTCCCGTTAGTGATAATACACTTTTAGGGCTTCCACAAACCATGGTTGACGCCTAGCAGCATGTCATGGTTACCCAAGCTAATCAGAAGAGGTGGAGAACCTATTCAGTTTTAGGATTACAAATGCAATACGGTCTTTCTCTAATACAATACTCTTGACCACATTGTTTGGTTTGATACTTTATTCATGTCTACTATCCAATGTAAATCTTGTACTTATATGAGTACCTTGAATGTGATCTGGAACGCATTCCAACATCTCATTCATACTCTGGCCAGAGATTCTAAATCACATCATAGAGTATTCTCCCTCAAACAGTTTGAAGGTTAGAGATCCCTTGTTGCGCATTCACTTGTCTCCATGGCTAAGTGGCTTAACCCCGACGATGCCGTGGACACCCTGATAGAGTGACTTTGACATAATCAAAGATTAAGGACCTAACCACAAGACAACTGTGATGCCTCAGGTCAAAAGACTAATTTGCATTATCCCAACCATGAGTTCTCATGTGACATGAATATGAGAACTCTTCGTTGATCGTGTTCAATGAACTCATTCTCTATTGAGCACCTACGTACTTGTCTTGATGTCACACACACCAATGACTCGAGACTAGTCATTCTCCCTGAGAGAAGACATAGCACGTACTGATCTTAACGGACTGTCAATGCCCAATTGACAATCCTATGATCAGGAACGTTTAGGATGTGTCAACGAAAGAATGGTCTCATGAATCTAACTTCTTTAGATCGCATTCTTCCAATCACATATTCCTTGGACTTATCGTTTAAGCATATAACATTTATATGAAACGGCTCAAACAATAATCTTTGCCCTTTACATTTAAACTACATTAGTTTGAAATGTCCGTAAAGTATCATCATATGATTGGTTTTAGGGCACATTTCCAACACGAGAGGTATGCAAGCTATATGTTAGTGTATAAACTTCTTACATTGGCTTTGGTGTTACCAGTTGCAATCGCTTCGGTGGAGAGAGCTCTTCTGCTATGAAGATTGTAAAAACATCATTATGTAACAAAATGGGAGATCAATGATTGAGTGATAGCATGCTTGTTTACATTGAGAGAGGTATTTGCTTTTATTGATAATGATCCTATTATGCGGCATTTTCATGATATGAAACCTCGTTAGCAACCATTGTAATTTGTTTGTATTGATAAATTATGAAAGACATTACTATATAAAGGATTTGGTTGTTGCTATTCTTTTGAACCTTGCACTCTTTTAACTTCACCTCTCCCCTGTCAATTCCTGGCTTCGCCATTGAATATAAGTCATGTGACTTATTTTGGGCATTTCAACTCCCTACTACCCTTTAAAATTGTTTTTAGAACATTTCCTTTTTTTATCGACATGATTGACCACGTTAAATTCTCAAACAATACTAAACACAATGCTAAACATCAATAAAATTTCAAATTGTATGACACGAAAAATAATTAGTAAAATTCAAGTAACACAAAGAATAATAAGAATTTCAAATTGCACTATATATAATTGTTGGCCACAAGGCTAGTTTGCAAAAGAAAGATAAAAAAAATACATCTTTATACAACAACATTCAAGCATAACTCTTGTGACTTCCATATATACAAATGTACTTGTGACTAATTCGAAAAAGATGTGCACTTAAGGTTGATCTGTAAGCTAACCAAGTGGATGGTATTGGTTGAAACTTGTTCTTTGCACAACCCAGCACATCATAATAATCTGCATAATTGAAGTAGTCGTGAAAATCTGTGAATAGCTTTTCAAACACCCTCCATTGGACTTTGATCGATCTTGAGTATGGGTACGAGAAAAAAACCTATTCATAAGGAATGATTCAATGTACTAGCACTGCGTATCAAGGAAAATGAACACGTTGCAGCAACAATATTAACTTAATCATGTCTGTATCTTCTGCATTTCGACATTTGTTACGTTTAAGTAATTGAAAAGTTTTCTCATTTTCCTCTAAATTGTCGAGAACAGCCAGCCAGATCTGGGAAGCAAGATCATGAGCCATGACTCTCGATTTCCCACAAGCAATAAACTGATTTACTAAACACAGTAATTTTAAGTCAGGAGGTCAAATGAGATCACAACCTGGTATTAATTAAACTCAGCGCAAACAACAAAATTTCCCATCAGATTTGGTATGCAATATGTATTATCGTTGTCACGACGGTGGACAATATGCATTTCATTACCACATACCGATGCTAAAATTCCAGAACATTAGGTGGCATAATGGATCACAATTTGCGATACAAGTTTGAGATTGTAAACTTCTACTTACATCATGTTATGTAAACCAAAACTTTTGCAACATGTCCACAAGCTAGGAGCAAATGCAAGATTAAATAGCCTATATTAACTTTAAACCATCAAACTTGAGATCAGGGATCAGTACTCACATCATAAATTTTTATTTCACAGATTAATTTTCAGTTCCAGGTTTATAAAAGCAGAGAAAGCAAGATAGAGAAGTGAAATTTGAAACACACCTATGAAGGTTTCGTGCAGTATACTAGAAGAGGGTGGCATAGTTGAACGCTCAAGCTGCTCTTTTAGAAACAAATAACTATAGCCCACGATCTCATCAATCTCGCCATCCAGAGAAAAGATATGTTTACGGACATATAAAGCTTCAAATCTCTTGCGAAAATTTCCAGTACCTTAGCAAAATATAATGCATGGATATATGACGATAAGCACAGGCATCAAATCAGCACCTAGGGGAAAGTAAGAGCTACAGTTTAAGATATGAATAAAAAACATGCAGGCACAAGTCATAACATGATCTTTAATAATATGCCAACAAATCAAGCCTAGCCAAAAGTTGTCGTTTGATTTAATTTTCAAGCGGGAAATTAGAACAGGAAAAGGAATTTGTCCTTAAGGCAATGACTAGATATAGACCATCAATGATCATATTGCATTTTTTTAAGAACAACAAAATATGAAAACTCAGAAGAAAGGAATTACTAAAAGAGAGGGAAAAAAAAGGGATTGAAGTAGACGTGTTATTATACCTTTTGCTCAATCCTCAAGGGATAGGTCCTGGCCACCTTTTAGCTTGGCTAGCCAAGGGAAATGTCATAGCAAGAGTAGCTTGCCACAAAAGTTCTCCTTGAAACAAATTGGCCCACTGTTTTTTAACGCAGGAGATTTGTGCCCACTTTGAGACAGGAACTCGGATGAAAATTTCTATTACGAGATGATCAGGAAACTTTCCGAACGAATTATCAACTGACATTAACCTGTCACTTTGATTCTTATCTGTCATTAGAGCTCTACACTGGAAGAACAAAAAAAACGTAACAAGTTACTTCAACAAGAAAATCAACAAAATGAACTAATTTTCATTTAAAACAAGGCCATATTTATGTTTCGAACAAATACAAGATTTTTTTAAAGCACAGAAAGTTCCTAAAAGAAGAATAAACCCTTAAAATAGCCTGGAGTCTATATAGGGCCAGATACGTAGTTATGTCATAGAAATTCAAAGACTCCATCAATAGCCCCAAAGCTATTGAAAGAACCAATCCGTCATCCAAAAGGGTCAAATTGGGAAAAGTAACTTATGGAAGGAAGATGAATTAACAGTGTAATGACAACATGAAGAGGCACTTGACTCAAGCAGAACGGAAAGAACAAAGACTGGAATAATACAACATTGGACAAGGCAATGGGTTCGTATTACTTGAAATTTAACTTACGGCTTTTAAAGTCGAGCATTTATAGTTTACCTCCCTTGAAAAGAAAACGAGGGTGACAATTACTTTACTCTTTTACATTGAACAAAGTAACAACCATTACTAAAATGTTGATAGTAAAAGAATAGATCATAATGGATAAAAAGTCGAGTCTTCAATCCTCGGGTCCAGTTTTTGCAAGGAACCAGGGCACAAACTAACTTCAACACTGTAATATACAAAAACAAATACTTCTCAACTTGTTCCAGCTAAAAGAAACAAGACACTCCAATGAGACGATAAAAACAAAAAGAAAAACCTTCGTTCTAGTTTTGGAGACCTCCAGAAATTAAAACAAAAGTACAAGGTAACTCATATTTGTTTTCATTATTTGATTGCTTAATTGTGTGATTTTCCATTATTTTCCTTTCCTTATTCTGTATACTGTTTTTTGTTATTATTTGGTATTTCAGGGAGTTTTAGCAGAATACATAACACTGCAAAGCTGAAACAATCCAGAATACCATAAGTTGTTGAATTACTTAATATTTTATTGAAATTTCAGTTCAAGGATGAAAACCCAAAATTAGGAAAGCTACTTAATCCAATTAACACATGAAAGATTACTGTTTGATTGATCAACATCATCATCATCATCATCATCATCATGCAGAGAGTGAAAAGAATGAGAATTTTGTACAACTGAATGGAGATTTCACGGTGGAAAATATTATGAACCGAGTCTGAGTGTGTAAAAAAAATCAAAGATTACATATATCCAATTTGAGAAGAAAAGGAAGGAAGTGATTAAGAACAATTTACCTGACTGACTAAGAGACTGAGAGACTGAGAGACTGAGAGGAAGGAGTGAGCTTTTCAGTTCAAAGCTTTTTCTTTCCTTTGTTGCCCGAATTTTCTGTTGAATGTTGCAACAGAAGAAGAAGGACAGGGCTCCTGATTTCCTCTGTTTAGCTGGCTGTTTTAGGTGACTCCATGAGATCTCTCTTGTATTTTTAGCTTTAATAAGTATTTTTTTTCAAACAAAAGGCTCTCGTTTAGTATATAATATTGTCAACATAAAAAACACTCACAAAGGTACTTCAACCTACCCTTAGCCGCCATCGTGTAATTCACCAGCATAAAAAATCGAACCATGGACGTGCCATGTTTTTGTATATATTGAGTGAAATAATAACATAATCTCATCGTGTTCTGAATATACTTAAATACTAGTGATAAATTTGCTAAAAAAATAATGAAAGATGAATTTGTGGTCTGCAATGCTTTGTACAATTATGCCTAATAGGATACACGTAGGTGGGTTGGTTTATACCAACCATACGTTAGATGCTTGGATGAGAAAATGATGTGACCTAAATTCCATTTAATTGTCATGGAAGGGAACTCAACTACCATGCAATAGCTTCATTTTCATTATTTAGAGCATCTCCACCACTGTGAAATTACCTTTGTAATTGGATTGAATTGCCCTCAAATCTAAAAAATTTGCTCCAACAGTTGCAAAAGAAGGTGACAATTGGTAGGAGGGCAGGTGGCATGGTAGCTGAACTGCCAATTATTGCAAAGGCAGGCGCCACAAACTTTCACCAGCAGATAACCGTGGGTCCCCTTCGTGGTGAAGACATGAGTCAAATAGCTATTTCTTGGTGAATTCATACCATTGGATTTTCATTGATCCATTAATCTAGACCGTTGGTTTTTCAACAGGAGAAAAATTGTCCTTTTGTATTTAACTGCCATGTGGCAGATTCCTAACCTTTAAACGGTTTTAATTTTAAAAATCAACCACTAAGATTATTCTAACTGTAAAAATTCAAAGAATTAGAAAAAATTCCAAAAAATACCCAAATTTTTTTCTATAAATACCCAAACACATATTAAAAACACAAATAAAAATTAAATTAAAAAATATATTTATGAATAGTAACTGCCCTTGCCCTTGCCCTTCCTCCTTCCAAATTGGTGGACTTGCATAAAAGTAATTACCATTGAGATTGAAAAGTAAGGGCAAAGGGCAATGCCTTTGCCCTCCAATTGTCATTGCCTTCCACCAACTAGTGGAGATGCTCTAAGAGGAGAAGAGCAAGAAAGAGTCGAATTCTAATAATTGGTATGGATTGTTCATGAGGAAAAAAACTTACATGAAATGAGATGTATATTTTTTTTTATTATCTTCCTCTCTCGCGTAACCGACACTTTTTCCATATGTACATATCAACATTAGAAGTGGGCATCAAACTATTCGAACTGCTCCAATTCAAATCGAAGTGGTTAGTTTTGTCGGTTTTGATGATTAGATATTCAAATGGTCTCAAAACTAAACTGAACCGTTGGTCTGGTTTGCACATGGTGTTGGTCCCCTATAAATAAAACTAAATAATACCTTTCTCATTTTATTCATCTTTATATGTCATTTTTTATTTGTAAAATTAGAATTGAGATGGTTTGGTTTGGTTTGGATTTACCCTTGTTTTTGTTAAAATTGAACCATATTGTTGTTGGAAATGTGCCCTAAAACCAATCATATGATGATATTTTATGGACATTTCACATGTTAAACTAATCTAGTTTAATATTAAGGGCAAACATTATTGTTTGAGCCGTCTCATATAAATGTTATATGCTTAAACGATAAGTCCAAGGAATATGTGATTGGAAGAATGCGATCCAAAGAAGTTAGATTCATGAGACCATTCTTTCGTTGACACATCCTAAACGTTCCTGATCATAGGATTGTCAATTGGGCATTGATAGTCCGTTAAGATCAGTACGTGCTATGTCTTCTCTCAGGGAGAGTGACTAGTCTCGAGTCATTGGTGTGTGTGACATCAAGACAAGTACGTAGGTGCTCAATAGAGAATGAGTTCACTGAACACAATCAACGAAGAGTTCTCATATTCATGTCACATGAGAACTCATGGTTGGTATAATGCAAATTAGTCTTTTGACCTGAGGCATCACAGTTGTCTTGTGGTTAGGTCCTTAATCTTTGATTATGTCAAAGTCACTCCATCAGGAGGGTGTCCATGGCATCGTTGGGGTTAAGCCACTTAGCCATGGAGGCAAGTGAATGCGCAACAAGGGATCTCTAACCTTCAAACTGTTTGAGGGAGAATACTCTATGATATGATTAAGAATCTTTGGCCAAAGTATGAATGAGATTTAGGAATGTGTTCCAAATCACATTCAAGGTAATCATATAAGCACAAGACTCACATTGGATAGTAGACATGAATAAACTATCAAACCAAACAATGTGGTCAAGAGTATTGTATTAGAGAAAGACCGTATTGCATTTGTAATCCTAAAACTGAATAGGTTCTCCACCTCTTCTGATTAGCTTGGGTAACCATGACATGCTGCTAGGCGTCAACCATGGATTGTGGAAGCCCTAAAAGTGTATTATCACTAACGGGAGAATTGAAAGTAAGTTTCAATTCACAATCGATTAGAAAGAGTTTTAATCGCCCACTGCCTCGCTAAAAGGAACCTAATGGATCGTTCACCGAGTAAGGTAGAGTTTGAAGAAACAACGGAGATGAGTAAGAATAATTAAATGGTTTAATTGTTTATCTAAGGCTAGGATTAATTAATATGTTAATTAATCAAACGAATAAGTTCGTTAAAGACCTCGGGTTAGTTTTGGGCCGCAAGGCCCAATGAGATTTGAATGTCAAGCCCATTAACTCAAGTTGTATGACAACTTGAATAAACAAAGGGCTTGAAAGCCCAATAAACCCTATAGGCTTGCCATGTTAGAAGAATAGGGCTTTTGGTCCATTAGGTCACTTATTTGAAGGGACTATATAAAGGACTTTATAGCCTAAAATTTACATATGGTAATTTTTGGGGAAAGGATGAGAACACAAGCTCTCCTTTCTCTCTAAAATTTAGGCCAACCTTGGAGGGATCATCTAGCAATCAAACTCCTCCAAGGTCACTCATTTCTTCTTCATTATGCCTTGGTGATGAATAATTAGAGGTTCTCAATTTTGGGAACTTGGAGAAACCTTTTCATCCATCCAAATCCATGGATCTAAGATGCAAGGAATGAAGGCCCTCTCTTTGGGTGATTAGCCTTTGCTTATGCAAAGAGGAATCTACAAAGGTATTGATTTCTCAACTCACTTTGTTTTGAGTTGAGTCTTGGTTCACCTATCTACTAGGCTTTGAATTTCATGGGTAAATGTTTTGTTTTTAAGTGCATACAAGCATGATTCCGCCTTTAATTGTTAATTGCATGCTATTGATGTTGCTTAAATGAACATGTTTTTCACAAATCTTCCTTCAATTGTTCCGTTATATGTATAGTAATTGACAATCTCAAACAATCATGTTAAATCCTTGGATTCCCTTTTAAAAAATGCACAATGGTCCCTAAGGGGAGGCTGAAATGCCTCTGTGAATATTCCCGACCCCCGGAAGGCTGGACTGCCGTGACGAAGCCACCAGTTGATCCCCTTTTAAAACAAAAATAAAATGCAAAAATCCGTTGTAAACAATTATGTTGGTTTTAGATTAAACATGAATGATTAAGATCAGCTTCAACATTTCCATTTATATCTTTTATTGATGGCATGATTGTGTGACAAAGTTTACAAATTCTATTTTACTTTTTTCAATATCAATTTTTCTTTTTTGAACAAATGATAATCTACACTAAGTAAGAGGGGGTAGATTTAGCCTCACAATGGGCTACCAATAATATGAATCAAATTTGCCTTTTGCAAGAATTGAACCTAAGACCTCTCACTTTCAAGTGAATGTGAATACTACTAAACTATAATACAAAGTGGCTTTTGTTAGATTAGACCATTTTCAGATAAGCAATCACAAATGCAACATATAACAGTAACAAATGACATACCATTTATTCCAATCGAGATATCAAAGATGACACGCTCTGATCCCAGTGTCCAAAGGACAACGGGATGGCCACGTGCTGGTTGACACCTGAGGGTGACGCAAGCCATTTTATATGCATATGCTGAGAACATGTAAAACATGCATATAAATTTCGCGCATAACAACGCAATATAGTAATCAAGTACAAACCTTAATAAAATATAATATTCAACTGTCAACAATGTAAAAGTGATAATGCATGACATGTTTAGAGCACAACTAATTAGCAGTACAAGCGGAAGGAATAATAGAAAGCGTTATTACAAGAGATGTCCTACGCAGAGAGGAGGACACAAATTCAATGATATGGGAATGCCTTGTAGCACGGGTCGTATGCCTCGTTCCTAGGTCTTGAAGGGGCGCAAAACAAAACATGAGTGGACCAAATTATTATATATATAATACTAAAGTAATTATTCTTCAACGTACTAACCCGCAATTTGGAAAATTCATATAGCATAATAAGTAATAGGTTTTCCGAAAGCCTTAGCATGCCATAAAACCTTTCATAAAACACATGTCTTATAAAGTGTGCTTAGTAGTGGTATCACAATCGCCCAAAGGCCCTACATCGCTTGACTAAAGCCATACATAAATATCATTCGCATGTAGGCACATAGTATGGATAACCACTAAGTAAGCACATAAAATCATGAACATAATCTTTCCAAAATATATCTCATCGAAGCTCAATAGCTCAAACATCATACATAAATCCATGTTCATAAATATCTCAGTAAATGTAAAATCAATAAAGCATGATATTTCATAAAGTGTAAATCGGATTTACTCATAAACGTTTCATAAAACGTAGTCATAAAATCATGCTTTCATGTATGCATTTCTAATAATTAAATCATGCATTTTGGAGGGGGTCCACTCACAGATACTCCACCGTCGTCCAAGACGGCGCCTGCAACAACACGTGGGGGAACCCAATGTCCCCATTAGGTTTTTCGACATCCTGAATCCGTTTGTGACGTCCATATTCCCAAATTTAATCGTTTTAGTAGAGTTTTATTAATTGGTCCTTTTATGTGCTTAGGTGCGATTGTTAGCAACATTTTCATCCTCCCTAGTTCGAACGGCTATTCGGTTCGAGTTCTACAAGCTTTGCCCAGATTTCAGCCGACCCACGAACTGAAACCGGATCGACCCAAGCCACAACCCTAAAACCCGATCCAAACCTGGCTACCCGGCCCAAACTCAATAATTGGCCCAGCCCACCAACC